CAAGACTGACCATACAGCCTCAAATGTTTCCAAGGACCACACACCAATGTAGTGAATCACAAAAAAATGATCACGAAATGGCTTTGGTTGGCCCTCCACATGTAATACTTCTGCCTTGTGTCTCCTAACATAATCCACTATAATTTTTTTTTCTGGATAAAAAGAGCCATCAAAAATGGCTCATCTTTCCCTCTTCAAATATAGCTTACTTAAAAGGCTTACACAATGTGCAGTATGTCTTTGTAACATTTCTTCATTGTGTTTCCCACATAATTTGCTGTATTTTCTTTTTCAAAACCTGCCTCAACACTCCCCCTTATATTGTTTCTCAGTTGAGCTGTTTACATACTTACAAGCCATTGTGCTATATATATAGCTTTAAAATATGGCTCTGTCAGTTTTTTTTAATTCATCATAACAATCTCCTCATCTCTGTAATGTCAAGGTTGTTGTTTGTGAGGTGTTTTTGCACTGTGTTGACATTTGATTAATCTTTGTAGAGAATACATTTTGCCACAATTTAGCAATTGTTATAAAGTTGAGAGGGTTAGCTTTATTTTATTTTGAAGTGTAAATCTTCCAATAGATCTGTTCTATGTTCTTCATCAGCCACTCAATTCTATCCTAATTACTGCTAAATTTAAAATGTGTCGAAGAAAAAGCTACCTAAAAATAAATATTTTATTAAGTTACAAAAAATCAAATAGGGAAGCTGATGCTTTTTGTAAGCCACAATTTAAAAAATGTATTACACATAAAAATGATATGATGCCAGAGTATGATGCTGTCCCAGAGAGTACTGTTCTGTAACCCTGCATATAGCCTAAAGACATCTCTGAAGCATGGAATTTGAAGAATTTACATAAAACATGCAATTAACGTGCCACGCTTTTCTCAATGATACATAATGCCACCAAAATAATATCATAAAAAATCTCAGTGCGAAGTGGGTAATAAATGTATAATAAACATTGTGCATAATAGCTATAAACTAATATTGTCCATCTCCACAACATGATTCTTTCATTTCAAAATGACAAATCTTCCTTTTATCATATCTATTGGATCTATTGTAGTGGGCTGGCAGCCCATTCATAGTGAATAGTAAATCCTCTTTGATAAGTCACAGAATCTATCTTTGAACTGATGAAAGGGACTTGGTGACATCACGATGCTCGTGGTCAGCTGACCGGCTCCGGAGAGAGTTAACCAAGAGGAGTCCAGTGTCAACTTGTACAGCCAGAGGGTGTCAGCTACGTTTTAACATATTGTCTTATGCGTGCAATATTAGGTGCAATGGAGCACCTGTATGAAGTGAGTGGCTATTGCATATTTTAATAAAATGTCAGTTTTTAAATGATACAGTGCTATTGGTTTGCCTTGTATTTTTTTATATGTTTGCTGATCGGAGGAGAAGGAAGGAGTTGAATCAGCAGTGAAGGAGAGTCTTGGTAGAAGTCATACCACCAATATATGTCCATTTAAAAGATGCAAGCCACTTTGGTCAGCTTGGCTCCATTTCTCCTCCTCTTCGACTCTTCGAGATATGTGTTCCCCTGTTGCGCCCTAGTGGAGTTGAGTCTTGCTCCCCCGACTCAATTTCATTTTGGTTTGTCTGCCGGTTGGGCCCTGCAGTCCGTGCCAGGATGTGGGCGGCAGGGTCGCTCCAGTGGGATACAGGTGGGGAGCCACCTTGATTCTGTTTACTGCCGTTTCTGTCTCCCAACTCCTTCTCTTCTCTCTCTTCTCCTCCTTCGCTATCCTTGCTGACCTCTGTCCTCTAATCCCGTCCTCTGCCCCTCTGACTTCTGTCCATAGCCCCACTGACCCCTGTTCTCTGCCCCATTGACCTCTGTACTCTGACCCCTGTATAATGCCCCACTGACTGTTCTTTGTCCCACTGACCCTTGCCCCACTGACCCCATTGTTTGCCCTGCTAACCCTAGACCTCTGCCCCACTAATCCCTGTACACTGTCCTGCTGACCATGTCCTTTGACCTCACCACTGCCCTGCTGCGTCCAGACTTCTGACCCCTGTACACTGCCCCACTGACCCCTGTACACTGCCCCACTGACCCTTGTACTCTGCCCCTCTGACCCCATCCTATGCCCTGCTGAACCCAGAGCTCTTCCCCACTAATCCCAGTTATCTGCTTCCCTGACCCCCGTACACTACCCCACTTGCCCCAGTCCTCTGCCCTGATGCCCCCATCCTCTGCTCTGATGACCCCTGCACTGCTGAACCATGTTAGCTATTAGAAACTACTAATTTACAGGTGCAGGAATTGAGGCTGATATGAAGTGTGAACGTGCAGAAATTGGGGTGATCTGGAGTCTGAAGGCGCAGGGGGATGATCTGAGGCGTGATGGTGCAAGACCTGGGGTGATCTGAGATGTGAGGGTGTAGGAATTGGAGTGTACTGAGGTGTGGTGGTGCAGGACATAGGGCTGATCTGAGCTGTGAAGGTGCAGGAACTGGGGCTGATCTGAGGTGTGAAGGTACAGGAAGTAGGGTGATCTGAGGTGCGAAGGTGCAGGAAGTGGGGGTGATCTGAAGTGTGAAGGTGCAGGAATTGGAGTGACATGAGGTGGGAAGGTACAGGATTTGGGGTGATCTGAGATGTAAAGGTGCAAAAATTGGATGGATCTGAAGTGTGATGTTGCCGGAATTGGGGCTAATCTGAGGTGTGAAGGTGCAAAAACTGGAACTGGGGTGAAGGTGCAGGAGCTGGTGTGATCTGAGGTTTGAAAGAGCAGGAATTTGTGTGATCTGAGGTGTGAAGGTGCAGTAATTGGGGCTTGAGATCTGAAGGTTCAGAAACTGGGGTGATCTGAGTTGTTAAGGTGGAGAAATCGGGGTTGATCTGAAATTGGATGGTGCAGGAATTGGGACTGATCTGAGGTTTGTAGGTGCAGCAATTGGAGTCACATGAAGTGTGAAAGTGCAGGATTTGGGGTGATCTGAGATGTGAAAGTGCAAGATCTGGAGGAATCTGAGGTGTGATGCTGCAGGAATTGGGGCTAATCTGAGCTGTGAAGGTGCAGAAATTGGAACTGATCTAAAGGGTGAAGGTACGGGAACTGGGGTGATCTGAGGTTTGAAAGTGCAAGGATTTGTGTGATCTGAGATATGAAGGTGCAGTCATTGGGGCTTATTTGAGATCTGAAGGTTCAAAAACTGGGGTGATCTGAGGTGTGAAAGTGGAGAAATTGGGGTTGATCTGAAATCTGATGATGCAGGAATTGGGACTGATCTGAGGTTTGAAGGTGCAGAAATTGGAGTGATGTGAGGTGTGAAGGTGCAGAATTTGGGGTGATCTGAGATGTGAAAGTTCCAGGGATTTGTGTGATTTGAGATGTGGAGGTGCAGTCATTGGGGCTTATTTGAGATCTGAAATCTTGCAGGAATTGGGGTGATCTGAGGTGTGAAGGTGCAGGTATTGGATTGATGTGTGGTGTGATGTTGCAGGAAATGGAGCTAATCTGAGCTTTGAAGGTGCTGGAAGTAGGGTGATCTGAGATGTGATGATACAGTATTTGGGGTGATCTGAAATGTGAAAGTGCAAAGCTCAATACATTTATTTCTTGCTATTATTCAAGTAATTTACAGCATTAACCATTTAAAGATTCCTTTTCATGATTGAAAGTGTGAAGTTTACTGTTGCTGGCACTCTCAATTTCTTTGAAACATTTTTTGACACACTGTACTCAAAAGGTTGCCTACCCCTGTGTTAAAGCAACAAATTCTCATTGAAGTCAGTGGTAGCTAAATGTTAAAAAACAGTAATGGTAATTTTGTAGGTTAATAGGCAAGGAATTGTCAAACGAATGGCTTGGGGGCTGTGCGCTGTCCTGGAAGACAAGTACCAGAGTGAAAGAAAATTAAAACTCCATCTGGCAGGGAGTAGCAATTTTACTAATGCTTTAAGGTCAACATTAAAAATGCAAAATTACTTTAACCCATTCAATGTCACCAACGTATGCCAAATTTCAACAGCAGCAGGGTGTTTTAGGGGGACAGCTTGTATTAAATAGGAATAGGTATTTGGCAGAATAATCAGCCAGGAGATAAATTGCAGTTTACTAAACAGGTGCAAAGTTGAAATCTATAATGCAAAATAGATTTAGGATAGAAAAAGAAAATATGCATACACTGCATGTGTACACTAATGAAATCTGCACAACCATGGACTCTTCACAGCAATCTCTCTGTGACTCAACCAGGGTAACATAGCAGAGTCTCTATAAACCTCTAACTACAGAGCATCATTACTTAAGTAAAACAGTTCAGAACACAGCTACTTGTGATTTAAACAGCACTTCTCACAGTGAAGCCCAGGGTAGCAATGGTAACACAAGCAAACATCTAGAGTAGTGGTCACGAAATGGTGGACTGCGAAAGGCCCCAACCGCCCGGACCACCAGGCCTCAATAACAGATCCGCCGCTGAGCAGGGCGGTCATCATGGCAACATGACATCATGTGTGCGCCCTGACCCTTTCAGCTCACTGTGTCTCCAGCTCCCGCTCCCTGCCTGTACTCAAGCATCCAGCAAGGCTCCCGGCACTAGTTCCTGTCTGCCCTCAAGGTATGGTGTAGTCTTACAGGGCACATTGAATGTTAAGGGGCACTCTGATGGGCACAACATAGAATGTTGAATAGAGTGTTATTAGGTTCCAGCCTTGCTGCCCAAACGTCATGTATGCTCTCTGGGCATTTTCATGAACTCAGGGAGTGTAGGAAATGGAGCTTAAGTGTCTGCATCTGATCACGGTGAGTAAATTGACACTTCTCTCTAATAATATCTGGTGCCAAGAAGTACTTTATGAATTCATAGGAGGTATTATGGACACCCCTGATCCTATGACATAGTACTTATCTATTAAGATGTGTAAGCATAACACAAATTGGGAAAGGATAGGAAATATGATATACAATGGAACAATAGGACATGATTCTACAGAAATTTAAATACACTAGCAGGGGCGGACTGAAAACTCATGGGGCCCCCAGGCAATAGGGGATCATGGGGCCCCTGTGTCCTTGCCCAAACTCAAAAAAGCATATGAAAAAGGTACCAGGGGCATCTCATGGGTCCCCCTACTGACCCCGGCCCTCGGGCAGTGCTCGAGTTTCCAAATGGTCAGTCCGCCCCTGTACACTAGTGTTAAGTAAGTGTCTAAGTGTTAAGTAAGTGTCTTAAGTAAAACATAATTCTGGCTAATTTGGTAAGATATATGAATAGCTGAATGAAGCAAAGTTTTGTTTATTTCACTGTCAAAAAAAAAATGCACTTGAAAGACACTAATAGCGGAAATTCCTTATAAATATTTCAACATACATGCCTAAACCAAGAGATTTTCCCTGAATTATGCTTTGCAATGCTAAGATGTGTATCACATGCTGTTTACATATTTCATAACATGCAGTGTTTAATTTTTAGGAATACTGTATGTATTCTTAATGTCAAATTCTATATCATTTAAAAACAAAGAGATTAATATATTAATGAAATTATTTAAAGAGATACCGTATTTTTCGCCGTATAAGACGCACTTTTTCTTTCCCAAAACTGGGGGGGGAAAGTTGGTGTGTCTTATACGACGAATAGAGAGAGAATCCGTCAGGCGCGGCCACGGCCGTAGGAAAGGCCGCGGCTTTGGCCTATCATCTTAGTACACCAGGCGGTGCGCGCTGACGTCATCACCCCCTCTGCTCGTAGATCAGCCCTGAAGACCGGAACGGCGCGGGAACACGGCGAGAGGAACTCGGAGCAAAGGTAAGTGAATTGACACAATATGGGGAATGAATTACTATAGGGGGGATGAATTACTATATGGGGGATGAATTACTATATGGGGGATGAATTACTATGGGGGATGAATTACTATGGGGGATGAATTACTATACGGGGGATGAATTACTATGGGGGATGAATTACTATATGGGGGATGAATTACTATATGGGGGATGAATTACTATGGGGGATGAATTACTATATGGGGGATGAATTACTATATGGGGAATTAATTACTATGGGGGATGAATTACTATATGGTGGATGAATTACTATACGGGGGATGAATTACTATAGGGGGATGAATTACTATGGGGGATGAATTACTATGGGGGATGAATTACTATATGGGGGATGAATTACTATGGGGGATGAATTAATATATGTATTGGGTTCAGAATCTTTTTTTTCTAGATTTTCCTCCTTTAAAAAGTGGGTGCGTCTTATATTCCGGAGCGTCTTATATGGCGAAAAATACGGTAATTAAAAATGGGTAGCAACAGTCCCAAAAGCCTGTTTCCTATACATGTATAAAACAAATAAATTGACACATTAGGTGTTTGCAATGAATAGAGTCGGTTCAAAATAAAGTCTAAATACTCTGTATTCACTAGCACTCATGACCAATTTAATGCTTGTTTTCTTTTTTAAAAGAAACCATATTTGTTTGAAAACATTGTTTTTGAATAAATTCATCCTGACTAATACTTATGATATTATTTTCTAACAAATACTTGCAGAATTCATACATAGTTGTAGTTACCACATAAAGACTTGTGTAAATATAGGAACTACATTTGATTTGTACCAGTTAATTAGGTACCAAGCACTATGTTTAAGTGTCTGTAAATATTGAAAACGCTGCTTTAGAAATAACCGTGAGGACTGCTGAAAATAAGTAGTTTGGTCAGTTTAGCTTTGTAAACAAGGTGAACCAATGGTCACCTGGAATAATTACTCATGATCAAATACAAATATTTGCTTGCACATAATTTAAAGACTGGAGTGGACCCATATTTATTTTTTAACTAAGCTAAGTGATCATTGAGGCTCCATGCACACCATGCACACTAGCTTTTGTTTAAGCTCAAAAAACGCTGGGAAAAATGTTAAAATAAAAAACCACGCTGCCAATAGCATTTTTAGTAGCATTTTAGTAGCATTCAGAAGCGTTTAGGAGCGTTACCATTTTAGTAGCCTTTTTACAGTACATGTAGGGGAAAAAAATAGCATTTTAGTGGCATTTACCATTTTTTTCTGCTGGAAAAACACTCCAAAAAAAACTCTACAAAAAAAAAATTTTCTGCTCCTAGATGCTGAAGCTCAAAAAATGCTAATAGCCTAAAGTAGTGTGCATGGACACATAGGATAACATGATTCAGCACAGTGGTTAAATGGTTAGCACTTCTGCCTGGCAGTACTAGGGTCACTGGTTCAAATCCCAACCACAGTACCACCTGCCTAGAGTTTCCATGTTCTCCCTGTGCCTGTGGGGGCTTTCTCTGGGTACTCTCACACTCTAAAGACATGCTGGTTGGTTACTTAGATCCTGTCTAAACTGGCCCTAGTATGTGTATGAAGTTAGAACCCTTAGATTGTATGCCACTTGAGGTTTAGGGACATCAGTGAATGTACAATATATATGTAAAGCACTGAAAAATTTGACAGCACCATATAAGTACCTGAAATAAATGAAATTTTGCTTTTAAAAACAGAAAAAGATAGGCTGATAATAGTTTATTGGAGATTAAAAACGCTAGTCTGCATGTTGCCTTAGTTAATCAAGTGAGCAGGCACTTATTATCTAGTAAACCAACCCCTAAGGATTCTCAATCACTTCAGATAGTTAAGACATTTTTGAATTACAACCAGCTTGCAATTAAAATACTCACCTGCAGGCTTTGTGTCATTTGTTAGAGGCTAGGAATGGAGAAAACTGAACTTGACATTGTATCTCTCTGCAAGGACTGTTAGAATAAGAACTGGTTGTAAGAATTATGATTGTTACATTCACATATACCTAATAGCATCTTGTGCGGTCTGAACACTAAAGAAATATTCCTATGGTTAATACGACAATTTGTAAAAAGTAATATTTAGACCTATCTCCAAAGTCAAAACAGCATACAGGACTCCAACTGGAATTAGCCACAAATGAAATTTTGAGGGCCAATTGCACATTCCACATAACTAAACCATACATACATCCTCATCTATGATAAAAGTATGCTGTTTATTGTCCTTAGGAAATCTTGTTTATGTGGATTTTTGACAAATGTAACGGATGCAATATGATTGATTCACTAGAAGCTAGTCACTTAGCAAACGTCAGTGAATTTACTAACTAAGATGAGGTTGTGATCATCTGATAATGTGCAAGCAAATATACTGTTAATTTATTTCCCTTGCAATGATTGGGTATTCAAAGTGAAAATAATTTTGCCATATTTACTAAGGTAAATGAACATTCAATGTAATAAGTGAAGTCTCTATTCCTTCATTAAGTAAACCCATTGCATAAAATGTCTTAATCATTCAAGTTAGCCTTCATGATGTTTAACCTATGAGTAATAATGGAAGAACGATTATGTGAAGGGCATGAGTCAGAGTTTTGTTATTGTGTCAGCTAACTTGAGGATGCCCTTGCACTTACTAACCCAATTATACTTCTGCTCTAAGTAATTGTGTCAGGTTGCTATTGTGTTGGGCTTGGCTGGCCTATTATAACCTCTTCATTCTCATCTTTTTCTTCCTTGGGCTGCACTTGAAAAGAGGGTGGTGGTATCTGACTTTTCCTACACCTTCAGCTCACTAGCAGGGTTTTCTTCCAAGTACTCCGTAAGTTCCGTTTTCAGCTTTCTGCTGTGGACTGGCTGGTCTGGATCTCTCCTCTTCCTCTAAGGAAGTGATCAGAATCTGACCATTCCTCAGAGGAAGAGGGGGAAAGCAGGGCAGCCAGCATTCTCCAAAAGTACACGATGAACTGTTGTCTTTATAGGGCAGAAATTCTCTTTGAAGGGTATCTGTGGCTGTAAATAAAATAAATTATTTTTTTTAAATGTTTGTTTCTTGCTGGTACATCATCTTCTCAGCACTGTACAATAAATTGGCATTCCAACACTTTAGGTCTAATAAACGTGCTAGAACTGAGCAACAAAAAAGGGCAGTGTTAAAAATAGTTCCATAGCTGCTCCAAAAATCAATTGATCATGTTGCGTTCGCAAAGACCTGCTGCTGTTGTCTTGTATAGAGATTGAAAGGCATAAAAAAGACAATTTATATATACTGAAAATGTAAAAAAGGAGGGTGGAGAAACAAGTGCGTGAGAGAGAAAAAGAGGCCAAGAGAATATGAGTAAGCAGCATCGAAAGTCAGATCAGAAAAAAACTGTGAACTACCCTGTTGCAAGTTATTTACCATGGCATGCTTTCCATTTGGCTAATTAAATACCTAAAATAGATCTCCAGTGGACATTTGACCCAGGTCAAAAATAGGATATAATGTACACTCACTGGCCTCTTTATTGGGGACACCGTGCTAATATTGGGTTGGACCCCCTTTAGAACTGCCTTAATTCTTCGTGGCATAGATTCAACAAGGTGTTGGAAACATTCCACAGAGATTTTGGTCCATATTGACATGATAGCATCAAACAGTTGCTGCAGATTTGTTGGCTGCACATCCTGTTCCTCCACATCCCAAAGGTGGTCTATTGGATTGAGATCTGCGGACTGTGGAGGTCATTGGAGTACAGTGAACTCATTGTCATGTTCAAGAATCCAGTTTGAGATGATTTGAGCTTTGTGACATGGTGCATTATCCTGCTGGAAGAAGCCATCAGAAGATGGGTACACTGTAGTCATTTTAAATGATGGCATTTAAATAATGCTCAATTAGTACTAAGGGGCCCAAAGTGTGCAGCTAGCCTGACCATTGATACAAGGCAGGATGCATCCATGCTTTCATGTTGTTTATGCCAAATTCTGACCCTACCATCTGAATGTCGCAGCTGAAATTGAGACTCATCAGACCAGGCAACATTTTTCCAACCTTCTATTGTCCAATTTTGGTGAGCCTGTGTGAATTGTAGCTTTTCTTTCCTGTTCTTAGCTAACAGGAGTGGCACCTGGTGTGGTCTTCTGCTGCTGTAGCCCATCTACTTCAAGGTTCAACGTGTTGTGCATTCAGAGATGTTATTCTGCATACCTTGGTTCTAACGAGTGGCTGCTTGAGTTACTGTTTCCTTTCTATCATCTCAAACCAGTCTAGCCATTCTCCTCTGACCTCTGACCTCTAGGCCTGGCATGACGTTTAAGGGGAACCCCACCCCCCAAAAAATGGGGGTGAAGCGTGGGGCCCCCCTAAATTCCTATCAGACTCTTAATCCAAACACAGGCCTGTGGCTTACCAGGCCAATGGGGACAAGGACCTCTTCCCCACAATCTGGTCCAGTGGTTGTGGGGGTCTGTGGGCGGGGGGGTCATTAGCACTTTTAAATAAGGGGACACCCTGATACTACTCATCCCCCTTGTAAATGAGTAAGGGGTACTTGTACCCCTACCCATTCGCTAAATGGTTAAATTCAGTAAAAAATAAAGAGACCAGTGTTTTGAAAAATTTCCTTTAATTGAACAAAAAACAAAACAACAGTTTTTGACAAGTCCTTTATCAGAAAAAAAAAGCCAAAAATAGGTTCCATCATTGTAATCCATTGTGAATCATGGTGTCCAGCGTTGTAATGATGAGGCTGACTTGTGTAAATTAAAAAAAAAACTGACACCCACTGACCCATCCACACCCGCTGAGCACTCACCACTATATGACGGGTCTGACATTTGTCTGTCAGATGTCTACAAATAGGCGTGGCTAGCGGTGACATCACTGCCAACATCACCGCTAACCCTGCCCAATTGTTTACATCAATGGAACCATTTTTTTTTTAATTAACGGACTTGTCAAAAACTATTGTTTTGTTTTAGAAGAAATTTTAAAGAAATTTTTTAAAAATCTGGTGTCTTTTTTTTTCTAAATTCAACCCTTTAACCTTTCATAAGGGGGGGGGGTAGCATCAGGGTATAGGTGGCCTGGTAAGCCGCAAGGGGGATGCTCGATCGTCCCGCCCTTTGCCTGCCTTGCCAGGTCTATGGTCAGATCAAGGGTCTGATAGGAATTTAGGGGGCATCCCATGTTTTTTTCCCCATATTTGGGGGGTGGGGTTCCCCTTAAAAGTACTACCAGACTACAAGGGTCTGGCATGGATTTTAGGGGGAACCCCACACACTTTTTTTAAAAAACATTTTTACTGTGGGGTCCCTCCTAACCTTCCTATCAGACCTAAAGGGCCTGGTAGGGATTGGGGAGAGGACCCACGTTGTTTTTTTTTTTAATGTTTTTTTTTTTTTTCGAAGAGAGTATTCTCCCATCTGTCTTCGGCAGTGTCCAGCAACACACTGCATAAAGCTGCAGTGTAAGCAGCCTTATATAATGTGGGGCAATGGGCCGTGAGCCATTATTGGCCAAAGTCACCGTCACTGTGGTCAGGTGCATTGCTTTGGCCAATCATGTCTCTCACAATGCACTGTGAGAGCTGAGTGCATTGTGAGGCATTCTACTGGCGAAAAGCCCACTGAACACCCTTACCGTTTGTATGTTCGGCAAACACACAACTGCCCTTACTGTTCGTGTGTTTGCCGAACACACGAATGGCCAATGTTTGAGTCAAATTTATGTTTGACTCGAACATCGAGCCCAGCACTAGTAATGAGTGAACCAAGCAAAGTCCGGTTCACTGGATGTTCGGGGAACAGACATGGGTAGCTGGGTACTGCCATGAGGGACATTGTACCAATGCAAACAAAAAAATTATATTATTATTAATAATAATAATAATAATAATAAATATTGTTCTGAAAGGAGCAGATAATCATTATTAAACATTAAGAACACACAATTCCTTTAAACAACATACTTGAGGATATTTTAAACTTGCAAGTGAAGTGGAGTACCTGTATGAAGCACTAAGGAAAAAGTAACATTTCTAAAGAAATTGAAAAAAATAACATTTCCAGCTAATTGACATTCCCAGCCACTTCAATCTGGTTGTAAAAAAAATTTTTGAGGATTCTTCTACAAGACCCTTACTTTTAAGGATCTGGAAATATTGTATCGGGGATCCCATGCAAAAAAAAAAAAAATGAGATTCATCCCCAAAATGCACCTTCTTGGGGGACTGGTATGGATTTTAATGGGGAACTTCATGCAAATAAGCATTTATACCAGATTTTTATTCAAGCATTCAGCCTGGCACCCTAAGAAAAAAGAAGTGTAGCGAGCACATGTCTCCCCTACTGAACCATACCAAGCCACATATTCTCAGCATGGGGAAGGTACCTTGCCAGGGGTACCCTCTATCAAAGCATATTATCTTTATGTTGATAGAGACAAGGACCTGTTCTCCTCATCCTTGGCTAAGGCTGCTGTGCTGCCACTTGCATCCTAGTAACCAATGGCTCTTGCGGCTTGCATATTTGTGTGGCAAAAGAATGTGAACCTTTATGTCCAGTAACTGGTGTGCCTCCCCTGGGCAGAAATAATTGCAATTAAATATTTTGGTAACTGCTAATCAGTCCTGCACATCGAGTTGGAGGAGTTTTAGTCCATTCCTCCTCACAGAACAATATGAACTTAAGAATGGTGTTGGGCATGCAAGCATCAACTGCTCGCATCAGCTCCTGCCACAAAATTTCTATAGAAGTAAGGTCAGAACTTTGATATGGCCATTCCACAACATTATCTTTATTCTGCATTAACTATTCTTTGGTAGATTATGTGTTCAGGGTAATAGTCATTACCCACTATCTCCTAAGCTTCACACACAGATACCCTGACATTTTCCTGCAGAATTTGCTTGGCCAATTCAGAATTCATAGTTCCATCAATAATAGCAAACCAACCTTGCAAACCCAAGGCAGGATACTGTCACCACCATGTTTCACATATAAGATTAAGGTTTTTAGTATGTGTGTATATGTACTGCAAATCAGCTGCTTTCATACCAACTGGCAAACACAGCCCCCTTTCTCTAGGTAATGGCCTGGGCATATCCCAGATTAGGGATTTCCCATCCACCATCGCTATTTTTAATGTATTTTTTAAACTTTATTCACAAATTTACTTTTTTATAAAATTAAATTTTTTTTTACTGTATTTTGTAGTTAATTATTTTCCTCATAAGGCTATGGCCTTGCCCTGGTCAAGCAAACACAGGCACGGACAACAAGGCTGTAGACTGTAAATGCTAAGCAATCGTATTCATGGACTACTGCGTGTCAAGAATGAGATACTAGCCTGTACATCATTTCAGAGGGGCCTCAAGCACAGTGGGTGACAGACAAAAAGCGGATTTTTTTCACATGCATTGCAAATGGAAGCAGTAGGAATCTGCTAATTGCTGCTACCATTTTTGACACCGGTGAGCATCTAGCTGTGGCTGCCAAGCCCACACACTTTAATGACAGGTTGCTGGTAGCCTCAGCTATTCGTGGAAGTTCACACAATCAGAGATTATCTGTATTGAGGCAAAATACTGATGCAAATGTAGCCTAGTAGGAATCACACCTGGAGACTCAGACAAAGCAAGTGAGGAAAAGACTGCGGGGGAAAACCGGAAAGTCTGTTTACATGTGATCAGCTGTGATTGACACAGCTGATCACATGGTAAACTGTTTAGCTGTGTTTGGCTCTTTATGGTGATCTGTGATAAGCTGTTCCCAAAGGACACAGCGGTCACAGAGCACGCCCGAGGCATCCCCCAGGGGGTGCGTTCTGGGAGGAGTCTATAGATGCCCTCCCAAAAGAAAGGAACCACAATGCAGCCGTCTTTTGACTATAGCGCAATACTATAGTTGTTAAACACTGATCTACAAAAAATAATAATAATGCCAGTTGTTCAGGGCTGATGCTGAAAAATAAGTGTCCAGGCAGACATATACCCGATCTGTAAGAAAAATTACTGTAGATTGTAGCAGTTGCTGCTGCCTCTTCCTTTAAATATATACAATATTTTATGAAAACAGAAGACTACATTCTCCAAATTAGTATTTGCTGGACCAGCAACTCAATCTTAAAAAGATGCTATCAATAGCAGTCACACTCACTGGCTGTAATCAGCAATAATTTACCGGTTCTTAGTAAACGGTGTTTGACTGATCTCTTACTGTAATATCGCAAGATTATAGTAACAGCAGCCGTTTTCCAGCATTCAAAGCATTTGTAGATCGCTTCCCTCTTTGTTCGGAGAACTGATCTACACAGCTTCATAAAAAGGCATTCAGAGGAGAACTCTCTCCTCTGAGAATGTCAGATAACTGAGCAGCAGTCATTTACCACTGCTTGATAACAGGACACCTGAATCCATAGTCACATACACATGCTCAGTTTGGTGTGTATTGCTAGAGAGATTTATTTTTTTCTTGGGAGAGTGCATGTGATCAGCACAGGGCCAATCAGCACTATCCAGACAGAGGTCAGGGGTTTCACATCCTCCTAGAGCAGAAAGAAAACTCCTCCTACAAGCTTTAACATGTGCTCTGCTGAATTCACAAGACTGCTCTAACTGCTGATGAGTTATTTATCAGTTTATATTTACTAAAATAATTGCATAGAGTGAATGCAGGGTCCTGGGTTTAGTAACATTTAAGGTCTGCTGTCTCTTGGAAGCACAATGTACTACCTGACTAGTTGATATCTTACTTTAGATGTTACAACTAAATTCCAGGCAGAAATAAGAGGCACGTATAGGCTCTCTATTTAGTACATCCATAGATGTATTTTTTAAAACAGTGTTAGTGTCTACATTTGATCTGTCAGCCTCTTTAAGCTCATGCAGCAAAAGTGAGCCTGGGAGAAAGAGAGAGAAGCAGCACAAGGACCCAGTCAGTTGTGCTGCAGTGAAAGCAAGGGGAGGACTGACAACTCATGGGGTCCCCGGGCAATAGGGGATCATGGGGCCCCTGTGTCCTTGCCCAAACTCAAAAAAGCCTATGAAAAAGGTACCAGGGGCATCTCATGGGGCCCCATAGTGGCCCCAGGCCCTCGGGCAGTGTCCGAGTTTCCAAATGGTCAGTCCGCCCCTGAGTGAAAGGAACATGCTGATAGGAGGTGACAGCAGAGTAACAGAGATGAACCCCAACTGCAGACATTGAACTTAAATTTATTTTCCCTGAAGAAGTGACACATATGATAGCAATATACAAATCTTTAAATGGGGACTCTAGCATTGGGAGGAAACATTTTATTCTTAGGTCTCTAAAAAAAAGGACAGGTGGCCACACCATGATGTTGGACAAGAAGCAGTTTTAAGCTGCACAAGGGGCTCTTTACTGTTAGGATGGTATGGATGTGGAACTCCCTTCCACAGTAGTTGGTGTCAATGAAGAGCATAGATACATTTAAAAGAAAACCTTTTAGATGTGTTTCTTAGCTAATACAATGTACAGGGATATGGAAAGAGTAGACACACACACACACACTCTCAGATTGAGCTGGAGAGACCAGAGTTGTCAGTCAACCTTACCAACTATGTAACTCATCATTATGCAGGTTTTCCTTTCACTGTCCAGTCCAGGGGCGGACTGACCATTTGGAAACTAGGGCACTGCCCGAGGGCCTGGGGGGAGTTTGGGCAAGGACACAGGGACCCCATGATCCCCTATTGCCCAGGGCCCCATGAGTTGAGGGTCCGCCCCTGGTCCAGTCACAGGCTTGGTGACCCACAGTAGAGTAAAATCAGGCCTCCCCTTCTAGACAGGGCTGTGCTATGTGGCAGGGTTGTGTAAATCTCATGATTGGATGAACAGAAACATAATTAATTTGGTAGGTAAAATAGCTCTCGTGTATGCATTTCATTGTTGTATTTAATGGTTTGCCTGTGTGCACTGCACAAAGCTGAGTCAAATAGCTCTCTCTAGTGGTTAATCTTTAAAGCTTTGTATTCGATACAAGCAAATATGTCAAAGCAAGAATGTAAACGTGTGAAAGCCACATCATACATTACTTTGAAGTAAATGCTGAAAAAATAACCCTGAATATGTGTTGATAAAAAATACACCATGTTTCTCCTTAACAAAACGTGTAAGCGATTTTTTTTTATATTTGGATGGAATTATAGTACTTTTGGAATATCAGTTCAGGGCATACAGTGCTATTGGTAATTTCATGATAACACAATCAAATAATAATTCAATGTTTATCCCACAGTGCATAACTTTAAAAAAAAAAATTGTGAGCATACTCATAGTTATCAGTATTAGTTGTGTACTGTTTATACCAAAATATATGCAATTTATATTGCATCAAAAATATATACGTTAACCACAAATAACTTGGAAAGACTTATTAACTGAATTTATCCACAGCGTTAGAACAATAGGTTTAACATTTTTAACCTTGCTATGTAAACTATTTATCTACTTATACACCACACATCTCTAAATAATAATTGTAATATAGGTTCAGTATTCTTATATACAAATGTAACGCAGACATAATGCTGAGGTATATTTGGAAAGAATTAAAAAATGTCACTAATAGTCTCTATTTTGGAAAAAGAGTTTGCATAAGTATTAATGACATTATTCATCGTATTTACTATAATTCTCAGGCATAAATATAGCGCAAAGTGAATAAGAGAACCCACAACCACAAATTTGGAACATAAAGAGACCTTTGTTTGCAGAAGTCGCACGTGAAAATACATTTACAAGAAACGCTTTTTTTATAGCCCAGTGATGAAATACTAATGGGGGGGAGGAAACACAGGAAATATTGTGACGACATTCTTAATAACATTTGCATGAATTCTACTATATAATAGGGTCATAATTCTTGACAGTTTATGACAGTTTTGTTTGTTTATTTTTTTGGGAGTTTTTTTTAGTTTGCAGGATTACTGCCTGTGAAAAACATGAACTATTTTTATTGTTTTTCTTTGCTCTTTTTTACCTGCAGTAAGGAGGCAGTGTGTCAAAGTGGAGATGCTGAAGGAAGTTGTCAGAGGGCCATAAATATATTCCCTGCTAAACTGAAAGATCTCAGAACCACATTCCAGAAAGTGAGAGACTATTTTGTAAGTATTCATTTCCTGTCACTCTGTTAACCTGTTCATGAATGCATAACTTTTTCTTCCCTACAAATGATCAGACCAATACAGATACACTAAGTTTTCGGTGTGCATATATGTGCACTAGATACATTATTTTACATTTTATTTTGCATATGTCTGTATTTTATTCTGAATGCAAACAGATGTCAAACTGAAGAAAAATATTAAAGTTTTAATGCTTTGAATAGGTATAACAATTAAAACTGTTCTCTTTCTTTACAGTTTATATGATATGTAAATAATATGTTTATGTTAGTTTTAAACAATGGCAGTTTTAAATAGTTTTTTTTTTGGGGTTTTTTTTTTATAACTGTGTTACATATCTTTATACATTTAACACATTTTATATATCTATTTTCCCTGTCATTTAGCTTAATGGAATTACAGAATATAATTTTAAAAATAAATTGTAATGATAATATGGGTGCTGCCATTGCTGACTTGCCTAAAAGATGCACGTTTCAGAGTAGTCAGACTGTTCCTGTACGTTTATTGTGGCTCCTTGGTGGGAAATGCAATTGGTCTGCAACCAGGTCTAACCAGGGGAAGAAACTCCTTGCATCTGATCATATCTATTAGGTGACTGGCTTAGCTGTCTTGGCAAGAATGATATGTGAGAGAACATGTAAACACTAATAGCAGAGCGTGCTGACTTCGTTCTATAAAAAAAAAAGTTTTATTAAAAAGGAATAATCCAGAAAATGCACAAACAAGTGAAAGGGGATAGCTTGCCTATCAGCAGCCTGCACAGAGTGGATATGGTACCTGAAAACAGCCCATCGTGGTGATATAAACAGTTTGAATCATTGCTATGGCTATCCCAGGGACTTTGCTAGGAGTGGGAGGATGCTGCAACCCAGTAGTGCAGGGAAAGAGGACATGTCCCTAAAGGTTTTGCCTGATCACTATATGTGATAAAGAAACCTGCACCACTGGACAGCAGCATGTCCCTGCCATCAAGCCACTACCACCACCTCAAATAAATTTGTAGCAAGGTTCTAAGGAAAGCCTGAGAGGGGTGCTTCAGTTATTAGCCTAACACTGCTGGCTAGAATGGGCTGTTTCTACAATCTGCTGACAAAGCAAGCTGCTCCTCTTCACTTGTGTGTGCCCTTCATTTTCATAACCTTATTTTCTTTTATTGCATCAGGTTAGCGAGCTTTTTTATATGTGTTTGCCTTGTTTTAATATTGGGCTACCCCTGCCTTAAACATCCAGACCTGTGTTTTACCCATACATTCTGCTTGGCACAAAGTTGGATCAGGAGGACTGAATTGTTGGCTTGAACTTGACAATGGTGTGTTTTGTGAACAACTATTTTCTTCTTGCTTTTACCCAAGAGAAGGTGCCTGGCTTTGGAAAATGTTGGAGGTTCAAAAACTGAGAGGAGGGAAATTGCTTGGGGTGGTGAGGTTGACATTCCCTAGTTCTATCCAGAGGCTAAATTTGCCTGTTACCTGGGGCAATAAATGTGATACAGTTTAGCTTTATGTTGCACTCCTTGAGGGGAGACCTGGAGGCACCAACTGAGATAGAGAGCTGTAAGGCACTACTTTCTACTGTCCTTTTCCTTATTATGTTCAGTGACATTCATCAGCACAGAGCACCTGCATTGTAGTTATTCTCTGTCATGCCATCAGAAGAGCTATGTGTACATGTTACTGCCCTGGAATAAACTCTGAACTCTATTCTTGCATAGCTGTGCCAGAAAACTGTATTTACTAGGTAGTAAAATCAGACTGTGTCTGAGCTTGCACTTTTAAAAACAAATCAGCAATGGTTGCTTCCATGTTTCTATTCTCACAGGTGCACGTTGAATCAAAACATAATCCCACCACTTAAAGTGGTTCTAAAGGTTTAAGGGTTTTTTTTTTAACCTTAATGCATTCTCTGCATTACGATAAAAAACCCTTCTGTGAACAGGCTACCCCCCCAGTCTATCCCAAGTACTTACCTGAGCCCAATCTCGATCCAGCGCTGTTCCTGAGATTATCTGCACGCTCCACTCTCTCTTTTTCCTCAAAGAACAGATGCAGCAGGAGCTATTAGCTCCTGCTGTTGTCCCTCAAATTCTGTTAAGAGGAAGAAGGGGGATACAGACAGCATGAGTACCCTCATAGGAAGTGGCTTCCTACAGGAGCACTCTGTGAAGAGGAAAAGCCAGAAGTGCTGACTGGAGACTCCAGAAGTGGAGGTTTGGGGAACCATTGCACAAAGCTGCTTGTTATTTTAAAAAGATGATTTACAATCTCTTTAGGTACTGTAAATTGTACAGACCTTGTGAATTTGCTCAAGTTTTAGGTAACAAAGGATTACATAAATTTGCAGCTAAACAGCAACACTAGGGTATTCCTTATCCACTGACAACTATTGACTATGACTATAGTAATATTAGTTATCTAACAGAAGAAACAAATATTATACAATCCCCTGAATTGTCCCCACCATAAATAATGGTACATTGAAGAAATCCTTGGTGAATACCTTTTACTATTTAATTTAACTTTATCTCCTTTTTTAAAAAGTAAAAACAATCTTGCAAAAGAACACAGTTTATACATACCTGTCTCTTTGACCATTCCAGCAATCTTCAATCATACAAAGCAAAGCCACCCAAAGAATCTTTGCATCTGACCTACTTTCGGATGTGTCGGATGGCTGCATCCCTGCTGCTTGCTCTGGTTCCATCCACTAACCCCTGCATCCTCCTCTTTTAAGTGGGGATCAAACTCCATACAAAATCCCTGTTCATAGGTCACACACTAATAATAGAATTAAAATATATTCTAAATATATCCTTCATTATGAATCTCAGTATTAAAAACAATACTCATAAATACACCTAAAATATTCCACAAATATTCACGGATTTAAAAGATAATATATCAAGGTGTGTACAGTACTGCAGAACTTTACCCATAACAACATTATAACAATAATGTTCTTTAGCAAGGAACATACTGTACATTCCA